TGGTGGAAATTAGAGTATCAGATCCACATCCAATTTATTTTACTATCCCCCCCCACCTGAAACCCATAATGGGGGCTTGGTGGGGCTTGCAATGGCATGTCTCCATTATTATATTAGTAGCCACAATCTGCTGCTCATGGGTGGGGACTGTGATAGTTCCCCCATTACTATAATAGCCCCGACCTGCCTCCCATGAGTGGAGGCTTGAGGGACAATGGGGTGCACCAGCACTTATTCTTCTATAAGCCTCTATCCGCTACCTTTGGAGGTGGGCAGGGGGAACTTTAGTAAGTCCCCCCAATTTTTATAGAGCCCCCATCTGCTGGCCTTTGATGGGGCAGGATGGTGAATAGTGGCCTGTCCATCTTCTATTATTTAATTTTAAGCTCCAGCCCAATACCCATGGGATGGAGTCTTTCTTAGCTACTGATCAGCAACAGTAACTTAGTCACTCATTTTTAATTACAGTATAAAATAACAATATAAAGACCCTAAGATTTGGTTGAAACATTGACACTTTCAAACAGGTGCAATAAATCTCTTTGCCATTTATTATAATATTGCGGCTATTATGTTTTATACTCTTTATGAGGCAATTGGAAGAGGACCTTGGAGATTTGCACCCATATTTTGAGTGGAGTGCTGGCCATCCAAATCTGCTTTGTACTAGTCTCAATTAATGCCACCACCTGCTGTATCACGGGTTGGGGCATACAGGAGTTATTATACATCCCTTATACTAATATGCTAGCCTCCACTTGATAAACCTTTGCACCAATGTGTTTTTTTTTAACAATTTGCACACTTGCACTATTATTAGTTCAGACCTTTATCTATTTATATATCTATTATCATATATTGGCCATTTATGTTTGTTTTGGAATATGTCCATTGGTTGTTTCAGAGTTTTGAATTTTGGACGAAAAGTTGAGTAGCCCAATATTCGTTTGAAACCAAATGCACAAATCTCTTGGTTTCCCACACAGACAAACAACTTTTCTCAAGTTTTATTAAATCAGCATTTTCCATATGACTAAGAATTTCTGAAGCAGTCAAAAAGATTTATCTTTATATAATACTTTTTAGTGATATAGCTGTGACAGAGCTGTTGTAATGGGTTTTCTCTCCCTCTCTGTTTTCCTTATAATCAGCAAGCAGCAATATAGTTACGTGATTCTCTTCTATTGTTACATAGTTATTTAAGTAATTTTTCCCCATTGTATTCTTGTCACATTCTCCGTATGAACCTATATTTTTCTTTAGAAAAGCATTTCATTAATAAAATGAGATTAATGCAAAGTCACATCTATTTGGTTCAATGTCCATTTTATTCATGCATTATTGAAATGTTTGTCAATCTGCCAGCGGATGCATTACATATTTTACCATAAACACTGTGATGAGTAATACAATGATGAATGGCTATGCTTATTTAGCACATAATAACACAATTCCTCATTAGTTCTTTTTGCTGCCCTTGTCATTACCATTTCTACTGTGTGTCATTTTTGCAGTAATTTGGGAACTAGGACAAACATTTATCAGTTCACTATAACTCTCTTCCTATTTATTCAACAACACATACTTAAAGCTGCAAACTATAGCAAAATAAGAGAACATTCAGAATAATTAGGTGGTAGGTGAATTCAGGTAATGAAAATAAACCCAGCTCAAAATGCTTTTAGAAGCTCTAATTAAGCTCAATTAAGTTTAGCTAAAACTTAGATTAGACGTGATATGTGTATCCTGTGAATTGCAGTGAAATATATATATATTAGCTGCTAGTTTTATTATACATAATTTTACATGTGTCATGTATTAACATGCTCAATATCCAGTACCAGACTGGGACAAAAAAGTTAAAGGAAGACAAGCCCACTAGGAGGTACAGGGTCTGAAGGGGGTATGCCATGTCATCACTAATGACAAGCACACACTCCACCCCCCAAATTAGATGCCTCTCTATAGCGTACAGGGCTCTGGATTGCAACATAATCAGGTGCTGCATTTGCTAGTGATTTCTCTCTGGTGTCTGCTATAGTAGGATACCAGAGAATACAAGGGCTGTTAAAGTGTTAAAGGTTGCTTGTGAGATTGCATATGTGTAGAGGAGACTATTTGTGTTGTAGTGTGTGTGTAAAGGGGTCTGTTTGAAGTGTGTTATGTGTTATGTGTGGCTAAGGGCTGTAGTGTGTGTTTGTGTGCTGTATAGTATGTTTGTGTGCGTGTTTATGTGGTCTGTAGAGTGTGTGGACCTAGGGAGAGTTGTGTTTGCATGTAAAGACTGTACTGTGTGTGTGTGTGTGTGTGTATCTAGGTGGTGCAAGGGGTTGCATTGTGTGTATTTATGAGCTTCATTGTGTGTATGCATATAAGAGTTGTAGTGCATATGTGTATAGGTACGGCAATGTTGTGCATAGGTGTTTAGTGTGAATGCGTGTATTGGAGTGTAGTGTGTGTATTTGGGTTTAGAGTGTATCCAGGGGTTTAGTGTGTATATTTTTAGGAGATATATAGTCGTGTGCAATGTGTGTGTATATAGTGTGTGTTTTTGCATGCATAGAGGGTGAGGTGAATGTCTAAAGGGTGTAGAGAGGGCAGTGTGTGTAAGTGCAGGGGATGTAATGTTTGTTTATAGGGGGTACAGAGTGTGTAAGTGCAGTGAATATAGTGTCTGTTTAGGAGGTATAGAGTTTGTGTACGAGAGTGCGTATGAGAGTGTAGTGTGTGTTTATAGATGATGTAGAGTGTTTGTGTAGTGTTTAATTGTAAATGAACAGGCTGTAATGTGTATATAAAAATAGTATAGAGTGTGTGTAGTGTGTTTGTGGGCTGTAAAGTATGTGTGTGCGTGTTTATATGGTCTGTAGAGTGTGTGGTATATAGTAAAAGATGCAAAACTAGTGAACCACTCATGGACAGCTGTTTCGTTGTTAATGCAACTCGTCAGCATGAGGTTGGTTATTGGTTTGCTTAATGAGGCTTGTTAGTGCTTGGGAAGGGGGTTTCAATCACAATTTTTACCCACCATAACCTATTTGGATTTTGCTTCCCAAGCACTACCAAGCCTCAATAAGCAATCCAGTAACCAACCTCATGCTGATGAGTTGCATTAACAACAAAACAGCTGTCCATGAGTGGTTCACTGGTTTTGCATCTTTTCCTATATTGTATTTCAAGCTGTTGCATACAGCAAACACAGATTAAAAGGAATCCATGTTTAAAATAGAATGAGCAAAAATGTGATTCTGTGTTAAACTAATTTGCATATGCCCACCCAGAATCCTTTGTGGTTGTAACATCGCTGCAGTTATGGGATTTCTGTGGGAAGAGCAAGTCTTTTGGCTTGACTGGTGTGCAGATTTTTGTTTAACATTGTATTAATTATCCGCAGACTTCAGGTGGAAGGGGTTTTCCAATCACAATTTTTCCCCACCATATCCTATATATATATAATCCAAGCCATCAACATATATGCCCTACCGGTCATTAGGTACCCAGCTGGAATAATAACCTGGCCAAGAGAAGAACTGGTCACCATGGGTCCCAAGACCAGAAAACTACTCACTATGAATGGAGGATTCCACCCAAAATCCAGCACCCAGAGACTGTACACTTGCCGGAAGGAAGGAGGTCGGGGCCTGATGAGTGTCAAGGCCACAGAGAAACACAGAGCATCCACAAGTACATCACGAAGATGACTCCCAAAGATGAACTGCTAAGGGAATGCCTGAGACTTCCACAGATCGATGATGCATAAAAAGATGAGGTTCATTGGCAATACAAACCTTTCCATGTGGTGTACCACTGGCAAATAGTGGATTTGACTAACATGATAAAATCCTACCAATGGTTGGAAAAGGCAGGACTGAAAGACAGCACACTAGAATACAGGAGCATATTAGAAATATTAGAAATGGCTTTGAAAAACATAGTGTCTCTTTACATTTTAAAAATAAACATAACAGTGATCCCACCCTATTAGAATTCCATGCTATACAGAGAATATTACCTGATAGGAGGGGGGGGGGGTGATTTTATTAAGAAATTTGTCCAAAAGGAAATGCAGTGGATTTTTAATTTAAACACTATGCAGCCTAATGGTCTAAATGATGATTTTGAGCTTTGTCATTTTTTATCATAGATTATACATTTTCCATATATATGCTTTTTATGGCATTTATATTTTTATACTTTTTTATTATGTATTTATTTTATTTTTATATTTATATATTTCTCTTAGTTACTTTCTATGTAATTTTAAATGACATCATCATTGGACCAGGCTGCTAGTGTTTTTTCTATGTTTCTTAGATTTTTTATATTTTTGGGGTTAATATTCTTTGTAATCCTTTGTACTGAACACTTCCTTATCACCTGTTGGTGAATGTGTACACCGGCACTTTAAAAGACTAACAACATTTTGTGTTTTTAATATATATTTTATAAATTAACATATGTACTGATATCACTATTCTTTTTCTCCCTTTAAATGCTTTGTATTGATACTGTGTACATTGGATTTTTGTATAAGGAGGGCGTTTGCCCAATTCCAAAATGGATGCTAAAGTTGACAGATGCCTGTTTAGAGACATGCCCAGGTTTGTGATGTGGTACGTCACGTTCCGGGTCACATGGGACGCCCCTAAACCGGAAGTACGATGGCAACCAATAGGAATTACTCTAGAAAGGAGGCACGTCAGTCTGACGAAGAGATTGGATAACGAGATGATTAGTGTACCAATCAAGAAGAAGGCTACGGTATTTGAATCTCCACAAGCAGCAAACACATTACCGATTGAAAAAGCTGTCACAGTACAGCGAAACGCGTCTCGGCTGGAAGATAGGAATATCCATTCATTTTTTATTATATTTATATAATTTTGTTTATTTTTGTCTGTAATTTATTTACTTAATAAATTTTTGCTTTGTATTGATATCCATCTTCCATTTTTGCTGCTAAAAGAAGGGTGGTAGCCTCCTTAAAGGCACAGAAACCTACATACCAGGAGCCAGGTATAGGGCTCCCTACCAGGTGAGAAGCCATTTATTTTACATTCACCCCTGAGTACTGGGATTTACTACACTAGGATCTCTCCTCTTCCTCTTGTTTCTCTCCTATGTATAAAGGATCCACAGATGATTAGAGGATCGATTGGGTTTTGAGTCGCCATAAGTACACATTTGCCGCTGAGATCTGAGCCTATCCTATAGGGCTCAGCTATATGTGAGTGGGTCTATATAGAATATTTAATTACTGTGTTTTTTTTATCCAACGTTACTTGCACCATTTGTATCTATATCTGTTTCAGATACACTGTTTCAGGATACTTTTCCTATACATTTGTATGTAAGCTCATATGGGTGAGTTGGTCAAACTTTGAGCGCTCCACATGTACATCAGTGGTGGTTTTTATTTCTAAATTCCCTACATTGAGTGTTCACTTGATCTATATTTGTATTTATGTATAGGGTAGAGAGTCCCTATTTACAGTGGTTGCTGCTATATATATTTATTTCACTATAAAGAATAAGCGCCTTGTTAACACACTGTTTTTGCTTTTAGGACTGAAAGACAGCACTGAGGCACTAATCAAAGCAGCACAGGAGCAAGCACTCTGTACCAGATCAATAGAAGCTGTAGTCTACCACACCAGGCAAGACTCAAAGTGCAGACTGTGCAAAGATGCCTCTGAGACAGTCCAGCACCTAGTATCTGGATGCAAGATCTTAGCAGGAACAGCATACACGGATAGACACAACCAAGTTGCTGGGATTGTGTACTGAAACATCTGCACAAGTCCAGATGGGAGATACCACAAAGGGTAATCGAGAATGACAGGGCTAAGATCCTGTGGGACTTCAAGATCCAGACAGACAAGCAAGTGATGGCCAACCAACCAGACATTGTGGTGGCAGACAAGTAACGAAAGACTGCAGTCGTGGTGGATGTGGCAATACCCAGTGACTATAACATCAGGAAGAAGGAACACGGAAAGAAGAACTTGAAAGGATGTGGAAAGTGAAGGCAGTAGTAGTCCCAGCTGTGATAGGAGCACTCGGGGCTGTGACTCCCAAGTTGGGGGAGTAACTTCAACAGATTCCAGATGGGACATCTGAGATCGCTCTCCAAAAGAGTGCAGTTCTAGGAACAGCTAAGATATTGCGCAGAACCCTCAAACTCCCAGGCATCTGGTAGAGGACCCGAGAATGAGGAATAAACATACCACCCAGGAGGGGTGAGAACATCATTTTGATTATTGTGTAACATTTACTCCCCTTCATAACCTTGCAGGGCTGTTCTTGGGCCCTAGTGGTCCAGTAGGCTGGTTATTCAGTCTGTACCACTGCAGACCAGTGACTGTCAGTGTTTCAGAGCATTACCATGGGTTACATTGGCAACACTCTGACAATATCAGAGCTTGCAAGAAGACAGAGGCTGCCCGGTATGCACAGAGGATGTCCAGCTCAATTCCTTCTCTCTGTACCCATGAATATTCAGTAGTCTCCCCTTGGGCCCATGATGAGACAGTTCTTAGGGTCGGTTCTGCCCTGTATGGGCCAGCAGGGGAGATCCTTTGATCCTTTTCATGGCCAACATGGCCCTTCGGGCATTTGCCCAGGTTGCCCGATGGCCAGTCCGGCTCTATAAATATCAAATCCGATTTTGCTTTAACATACTGGCTATCTGTAGCTCTGGTTTTCTATAAAAGTATGCAATATTTTAAATTACATTTATATCATATTTAGTGTACTGATATCTACACTAGCTAAGCATTGCTTATATTTTATTTTATATTTTACACCAAAATTTGTAAAAGAATTTGTTTTACTTATCACAGCTAACAGTGCCTTTGACTCAGCATGTAAACAGACATTATTACAGCAGTCTTTATCTAGTACCTATTTATTATGTTCTCTGGGTTAACCCAGGATATATTTCTTTGTGCTTTTCTAAATATCTGATAGACGTTTGTGTTATAATGACTTGCTAGTGAGCAAGTCAATATCTGAACAAGTAATGAAACTGCATATAATTCTGCATATATTCTTAAAATGAAGGAAAATTCCCATGCAGATAAATTATTGAACAGTTATTGCATCAGTAACATCCATTGAGACAGAGCAAAAAAAGTCAATTATTGCAGTACATTTTGAGGAATGTAAGGTAATGGCAATAGCTGAATGAATGATGTTCTGGTATGCATCATCAACGAGCTAACAGATGAACTGATAACTTAAATACATAACGATTTTTTGCTTACTTTAAATACCACTGTATTTTTGTCACTACCACAGTAATATATATTGACATAAGCATTTCACTATTCTTTATTGCTCTGTATTTTTTTTTGAATGTATTATCCATAATAGGAAGCAGTGAGCCATTCTTTCTGCCTGTAATCATCCTGGCTTAAATAAAGGATACCAGTGTAGATCACGCATGCTTTGTTCCCAAGGGTTCTCCTGCTTAATATTCCAGTAATTTTTTTTGTACATAGTGCTGTTGTATAAAACATTAATTTGCCTGAAGTTTGTTTTACATCATGCAAAGTCAACATGTTTCTGGTTAAAGAGGAAGAAATTTATTTTGCACTAAATTAGTCTAGCGTGGTTTGTAATGCAGAGGAGGTATATGGTCCCATATAAGCTGATGTTTCTTTGAGAGGTCAAATACGTGTTGTCCTTGATGATTTTTTGTTTACTGGTAAAACGTTGATTCTTGGGATATTTATGGCACAGATAACCTTTTCCTGCCTCCTTGTGTTGCTCTACGTTTGTACTTTTTTTTGCCGAGGCTGAGCTATGATGCATGATATGCACAGCACTCAGGTATACATTGATCTGGTAAGATATCAGTAGATGTTGACACTTTTTAAATTTGCAAGTTTCACCTTAGTTTGTGGCCTAGTTTGTCCATACAGCAGCAATATTCCTGGATGTCAAAATTCAAAGGTTGTGAGTACATTAGGTTACCTCTTGGTAAGGTCTACAGACATGGAGCAGTGGGGGACACATATAAATAGATTTTTTTTCTGTTAATGTAGTTCCAGTGATGGCATAGCATCCAAGGTTCTTATGCATGTGTATTACCCAAACAGTCATGCATAACATAGATGCATTTTACTATTTATACAATAGCACTTTTCATACTCTGTAAAGTACCATATTAACAGAGTGAAACAGGTTAGTGCTGTATCATGCTTTGTTCCTTTTTAATATTACTCAATGGTAGTCCCGCAATGGATTAACATGGGTATGGTGTCTGTAATCCACAGATCTTGCATCATTAATAAGTGGATTACTTACTGTTTAGTGGAGATTCTTGATCCACAGGAACCATAAATCCAGCCTCCAATAATAACATGGTATAGTTATGCTCAGGACCAGCTCCCCTTTTAGGCGAAGTAGGCATTCGCCTAGGGCGCCGGCATGCAGGGCATCCAACTGTGATATTTCCTGGTGGGCTCCCCCTGTCTTGGGCCGTAGTGGTGGGCGAGCGGCTCAAGAGGTGGGGGCCCCCAGAGGAGCCCTGTCACAGTATGGCAGAGCAGGCACCTTCTTACCTTGATGACAGGTGCCTGTTCTGACATCAAATGCCGGTGCCCAGAGGAGAATGCAGGCAGCGAGGGAGGCTCTTTTTGCAGCCTCTCACTCCACCCTCACATGCACTCTGTGAAGCCGGGAGCCGGAATATGACATAATTCCGGCCACGGCATATCAAACAGCGAGCGGGAGGAGTGAGGTGCTGCCCCACACTCACCAACCTGATAGGTATATAATAAATGTCACCAAGAGGCCAACACCCCGCCACAACGTTCAGTGGCCACGAATCCGCTCGGGCAAAAGCATAATATATTTATATACCTATCAGGTTGGTGAGTGATGGGTGTTAAGGAACTGGTTTATTATGGCCAAGTTGCCTACTCATATACACAACCGCCACACAATATAATGCAAGCCCTCCCAAAGATCTCTGTGCCTGGGAGATAATTGAGTTAAAGACATGTAAGCTAATTATCTCCCAGGAACAAAGAGGCTAACACAAAAATATAATACATAAAAATATACAATAACCCAACAAATAATACATCCCCAAATAGCCCTGATCTAATTGCCCAAGTTCTCCAACTAGCGCTCAGATTCATGCAGTGTAAGTGAAACGCCACTGTGTTAAAGAGCTGACTGGCTGCACACATGGTCCTATGCCCAAAACAGTTCCAGTGCGTTTGGTGCTCTTGCCGGTCAACTTTCGGGAGCTCCTGTGGCTGCAATACAGAGTGCTCCACCTGGCTCTCAGGTAGCATTTGTTCCCCTTAGTCTTAGGGACCTTTCCTCCAAAATGCGCTCTCCTGGCAGTTTGCAAAGTGGTCCAAAACCCAGGACCAAGTTGTCCGGGAACTGCGCAGTCACCTCATAACGAAAACAGTTCCATAACATTCGTGGCTTAGTCCCGCTGAACTGACCAGGGACCCACAAAGTCCTCATGCCGAATTATTTCCATAGCGGTCAAGGCTAAGTACCGCTGAGGACCTTTCGTGGGTTTAGTTCATGCGAACGGCCGCCAGGAAGCTAGCGTTCGGTTCCATTTGCTTGAAGGGAAAGTACCGAACCATGGTAACTCAGGGAAAGCTGCTAATGGTGGGTGGGCAGGGTAACTCCCGAATGGGGTCTCCGACCTTAATCATAGTCAGTGGGCAGGAGGCCAGCTTCCACACTCCTCCAGGAGTTCGTGGCAATCGTCTGAGAAAAAGGGCCTTTGTCACACATTCCATAGAATAGCAAAATGTAGATACAGTGTTGTAAAGTAAGTACAAAGTATTAACAAAGTAATAACAGCACTCGTATGGTCTTATTCTTCCCACCTTAGATGTTTTGTGCACAAACACACTTATTCGTATGCACTAAGTACAAATAAAACAGGGGTTTTATCCATCAGCATGCTGTGCTGAGCATACTCTGTCTCCTTAAAACTTAAGCCGGTGGGCAAATCATCGGTTTAGCAATGGGCTGTTTGCATAACCAGAGATGTAATGGATTAAGTAATTGCTCTCACAAATATTTTGAATCAGTTTAATAAATAAAACTCCAATTACACAGTTATTACAAATCATTACATGAATTGAAGTGGTCATGGTGCCTGGAGTCTGTGGACACCGAGTTTTGCATAGTTATATAAAGGTTTACGTTGAGCCTTTCCTCCAGTGATGATATGGCAGAGGTTGAACTGTTCTTTCACATTCCATTATACCAGTCCATAAAAAATGAAAGATAACAAGTAAAAAGGTGCTAAAACAATTCAATAAAATATAGTTTTGTAAAAGTATTTGTGCAGAATTTTAAGTGCAAATATAGCAGCACCTATAAAGTGTAATAGCCAATAAAAATTACACTCAAAACCATCAAAATTTTTAAAAGTGCGCTATGTCTTTAAGGCAATAATGACTTTTTTCATACAGCAAATGCAATAGTGCAAAAAGATAAAGTGCAAAGAAATGCTAGCGAGAGACAATACAATATGTGTTCAGTTATATATATATACACAAATATATATATATATATATATTTGTGTTCGTGACAACATTGATTATGATATGAAGTAAAATTGTTGTTAGCAAACCTGTGATAGGAAAAAGTCGGTTGAGGTGTGCCGAAACTGACGTATGCTGTAGGCCAATAAATAAAGTGGGCAAAAAGGAATACATATCATGCTCAAGAAACATTTATTGAGTAAATAACATAATACAACGTAAGTACATTAAGATGACTTTTTTTTTGTTTAATATCTTTTTATTGTTTTCAACAAAGGTCAGGATTTAAGGGGTACAGAAGAGAAATGGGGTTGCACACAAGTGGGGATCGATAACATTTCATGCAACTGTTAACCCTTACATTACGTTCCATAGTTCCGTGTCTTGGTCCAGTGCTGCGCTTGTGGTATATGGTTCTGGGTAAGTGTGACGGGGTAGGGAAATATTAGGGAAAGGTGGGCCGGGGGTGTGGGGTGTCCTGCTGCATTCCGAATCAGTTATAATTTAATCTCCTTCAGCGGAGGCCTTAAGTCATGTCTCGTGGCTACGTACAGTATTCTTAGGTTCCCTACATGTGGGTGGCTTAGGGTGGTTTTCCCTATGTGGGGGTTTTCCAGAATTTGAGCCATGGTTCCCAGGTTTTGAGATATCTTTCCCTCTTCCGCAGAGTTGACCATTGTATTTCTTCCAGTTCCCTTGTTCTTTCCACCCTTTGGACCCATTTTTCCCTAGATGGTATGTCGGTTTGTCGCCAGAACATTGGGATCACAGCATTGGATTCCCATATCAGTATGTTCAGGAGTTGCTGTTTGGATGTTTCTTTGAATGATCTGGGCCATCCTAATAGTACCTGGGAGTGGAGTAGCTGTGATCGCAGGTGCATTATCTTTGCAGTGTCTGCTAATATTTGTGTCCAGTATGGCAATATGTTCCCACAGCTCCACCATATGTGCTCCATGTCTCCCTGTGCCTCGCCGCATCTCCAGCATGTGTCACTGACTGTGGGCCAGTAAGAGTGAAGCTGTTCTGCTGTTCTAAACAATCTAGTGGCTCTCTTGTAGAAGGTCTCTTTGCAAGCTATGCTAATCGGGGTCTTAATCCCTGAGATCATAATGTGTGACCATTCCTCGTTGGTCATGTGAATGCGAAGTCCTTTCATCCATTTTCATTGGAATGGAGGTCTAGGTGGATCTCCCGTTTCCGCCTATAGGATGAGGTATATGCTGACAAGGGTCGACTGGTTTTGTTTCCCTGAATACACAGCAGTTCAAATGGTGTTTTGTCTCTCGTGTGCCAGAACGAGAAAACCGAGCGGGTCAGAAAGTAGGTCAGTTGTGCCCTATCCATAATGTCTAGGGGCGTCTCCGGTCTATTGAGTTTGGGGAAGGCTTTTAGTTTGGGTGAGACGTCCTCTGTTATGATTTCCGCGATGGTAGGATTGGGGGTCAAAGATATTCGGGCCAGTATGGTTCTACCTTGTCTATTTTGGAAGTCTGGGTTATCTGCTATTGGGAAGTACAGAGATAGTCCTGGGGACAATCCCCACTCCTCTCTGTGCCTTCTCCAGATTTGAAGTATGTTGTGTATGAATGGGTGGTGTGTGGCGGATAATTTTTTAAGTTGGCACGTCTGCCACGGTAGTGTGTGGAGGGGCACTGACGCAAAGTTCTGTTCCAGCTCATACCAGGACTTTTTCTTAACTGTATCTGTCCATTCCTTAATGCGTGTAAGTAGAACTGCAACCTAATACTTGTATAAATGGGGGAGTTCCAGCCCCCCCATCCCAGGTGAGGATGTTAGAGTGGAATAAGCAATTTTTTGTGGCCCAATGTGTAGTTCGTAATTATGGATCTCATACGTCGGAAGAATTCTCCCAGGAGGGGGATGGGTAGGGCTTGAAATAAGTACAGCACCCTCGGTAGGACCATCATCTTTATTATGTTAACTCGGCCCATTAGGGAGAAGTGGGGTAGGTCCCATTTTTTGAGATTCCGACTGATGTTGTCTACGAGGGGTGGATCATTCTGTGTGTATAAGCCTTTGGGTGTGGAGGTTAGGCGAATCCCTAATACTTCCCTACCCCGTCACACTTACCCAGAACCATATACCACAAGCGCAGCACTGGACCAAGACACGGAACTATGGAACGTAATGTAAGGGTTAACAGTTGCATGAAATGTTATTGATCCCCACTTGTGTGCAACCCCATTTCTCTTCTGTCAACCCTGTTTTTGTCCATATGAATTTGTGGAGCTGTCGGATGCGGTTCTGTAATGTGGGGGGGGGATGGATCTCGCTAGGATCTCACATTTTTCAGTGTTAATTTTGAAGTTTGATAAGTCCCCAAATGTCTCTATTTCTGCCTGTACTTGAGGAAGTGTGTGGAGTGGGTCTGTGATGGTGAAGAGGATGTCGTCCGCAAATGCAGAGAGGGGTGATAATGGGCATCCTTGGTGAGTTCCATTGCTTATTTGAAAGGGGGAAGATAAGTGGCCGTTTACCCTAACGGTGGCTGTAGGTCCCCTATACAATGTGTGTATCCAATTCCTTAGTTTCGGGCTGAATTCCAGACCCTCCTATACTCTAAATAGTTAGGTCCAATCCACCCTATCAAGGGCTTTTTCTGCATCTATGCCCAGCAGTCCTGTCAGTGTTTTAGTTGTGGTTGCTCCATGTATGATATTTATTATTCTCGTAGTATTGTCCCTGGCCTCGTGGCCAGCACAAAGCCTGCCTGGTCAGAGTGAATCAGATCTGGCAAAAGGGTTTGATGCAGTTGGCGATTTAGGTCTAGGTTGATAAGGGAAATGTGCCTTTAGCTGCCACATGCCTCAGGGTCCTTCCCCGGTTTTGGAATAATTGTAATTGATGCTCGTAGCATTGGGGGGAGGTAAGGGGGAGTCCTGTCCCAACCCATTTACCATACTAAGGAAGTGTGATTCCAATTCCCCTGCCAGAGTCTGATAGTACCTCGCTGTTAGTCTGTCTGGGCCAGGGCTCTTGCCTTTTGGCATTGTTTTAATAGCCAAGGGCGAACTCCGCAGGGGAGAATGGCCCATCCATTGCATGTGGGGCTTCGTCCGTGATCTTGGAAGGGAGGTTGGCAGTTAAATAGTCTTGTATGTTGAGGGGGGTTCCTTCAGGGGTGGGAGGTTATAGAGAGTATGGTAGAATTCGCGGAACGCTTCGGCTATATCGTTAGTGGTGTTACATTGTTTCCCGTTCCTGTCTTTTATACTGGCTATAAAGGATTTTTGAAGTTTGGCTTTTAGTGCCTGTGCTAGCAGCTTCCCGCTCTTATTACCGTGTGCATAAAAGGTGCTTCTCGTCAATTGAGCCAATCTATGTGCTTTTAGGGACAGAAGGGATCAGAGCTCGATTCTGAGGGCCGTTAATTTTTGAAAAGTTTCTTGGGTGGGATCATGTTTGTGTAGTGTTTCCTGCTCATGTATGGCGTCATATAAGGTGACCTGTTTGTGTGAACGTTCTTTCTTAATTCTAGAGCCCCATTTTATCAGGATTCCTCCAATTACCCCTTTGTGTGCTTCACAGACCCACGGGTCTGAGACGTCTGCTGTGCTATTGTCTATGAAGTAGTTGCGTAGAGTCGTCATCAGGTCTTCAACTACTCTCGGATCGCCAGAAGGGTCTCATTAAGTTGCCAGTGTGTACTATGGTTGATGGTGCCTTGTAGAGCTATGGTCAAAAATATGGGGGCATGGTCAGACCATGTGATGTTGCCTATGGATGCGTCTTTTAAGATTGAGAGATGTCTATGGGTCAGGATTAACATATCAATTCTAGAGTAGCTTTTTGCAATAGTAGGTATAATCTCTGTGTTGTGGATGTGTTAGACGCCAGCAGACCATGAGCTGGTGGGAGTATAGTGCGTTCGCCAGTAAGGTACGTTGGTGGCATCTAGTGTCTGTGGTATGAGAGGAACTGTCTATCGAGTGGTCGAGTACCATGTTTCAGTCCCCACCTACAATCACCATACCCTCATCAAAGCTCTCCAATTTATTCAAGCAAGACCAAGCAAAGGATCCTTGGTCTGAGTTCGGTACATATATGTTAGCGAGTGTAATTAGTGAGCTCTGACATTTCCCCTTAACAAAAATACACCTTCCTCCTGGGTCTGTTTTCATGCTGGCATCCATGAGGGCCGCCTGTGAGGTTATTAATATCGCCACTCCTCTGGATTTGCTTCTACCGTAATTGCTGTAATATGTTTGTTGGATATGCTTAGACCTGAGCTTTTGTCCACCAGCACTCAACACGCTTGCTTCAGGGTTTTTTCCACTTATACAATATGTTTCATGTCGGACCATCACTTAGATAGCTGGTTTGAGGTTTCACCATTTATTGCCTTTGCCTCTTTTTGCCACCTTAAGTTAATAATTCTCGCACAACACGGTTAAACTTTATCTCACGGGCATTCAACACTATATGTATTTCTCCTTCCCAAACAACAAGGGTTCCTATCCTCCTACCCCATCCAAACCTTAATTAGAGACATAGCCAAGCGGACGTTCCAGCTAAAACTAAATACTGACCATAGACATACAATGTTCAAACCATGTCAGAACCACTCGACCATCCACCTTCTGAGCCACGCACCAATGCAGTTTTCAAAACTGCTACCTATCTAGCCTTTACGGCTTTCTCAGGCCAAAAAATATAACTCACTATCAGCGGCCAACATCATAAACAAGAGTGCCTGTTGACCTCTTATCTTCTAAAACACACAGACCACTATGTCCGGTCCCTTCCTAAAACTAAGACGAGTCAGATGGGCGAGCCAGTGCATATAACCTACTACCTTACAAGCAATGCTGGATGCCTGGTTAAGGTACTGGTTATGTTCTTGGGCACGCCACCATACGCACCACTGAACCATTACTGTGGCTGTACGATACTGTCCTTACCACAGGTAAGTTCATGCACTATGTCCATCTACTCATTCACTGGGCTCGAACTAAAACCTAGCCGGGCACTGCTTTAGGATAGGAGCAACCTCCACGGTCTATAGCCAAGACATCCCCGCACATGTTAAGACACGGGCCACTAGGAATCATAGGCTTATGCGACTTACATACCACAGCCAATTCAGGAATTAGGAAGCTTTCATTAAAATGTCTTCCTGATTGTTAACAAATGCACTATGATCCTGTATAATGTTTGCATTAATATGTCTCTTTTTGCCCACTTTTTACCGGTCTACTGCATACGTCGGTTTCGGAACACCTCAACTGATTATTCCTAAAGCTACATCTCTACAACCCATCTTTTTCTATATCATATGAGAATGCCCCGAACACAAATTGGAAGGCATGGCCTGAAGTTGTGGGAGGGGCTATAGACCTATAAAAGGGACTCCCCCCTTTCCCTACTTACCTTTGTTGGTCAGATGAATAGCCCCACCCTCCACTCCCATTGTTCATATTTCCTCTATGTAAGCCCACTTTTTACCGGCCTACAGCATACGTCGGTTTCGGCACACCTCAACCGATTATTCCTAAAGCTACATCTCTACAACCCATCTTATTCTATATCATATGAGAATGCCCCGAACACAAATATATATATATATTTTCATTTTTTACTAAGAAAAGCATAATATTTATTTGTGACATGGTGTGCATAGCTGACACATGGTAAAAGAGGAATAAGAGGAATTTAGTGTATAGGTTGCTATTCTGGGTTAAATAAGGTCTTGGCATGACAAAAAATATACACTTTACAGTACTCAGAGCACTTGCTTTTCAATTCCTCTCTGACTTCTAAAATGTGTCCATGTAATATGACCTACAAAGGTTTTTGTACAGTAGAGGAGAAGAGAGGGAGGACTATACAGTTCCGGTACAAATAAGCAGTGAGGTTAAATGATAACCTGACAAAGAAATATAGTTCTCTACATAGTAAAGACCCATGCTGGGGCAAAATGGAAGGTAAGTCAGCCATTATGGACTAAATTTTGCTTTGCATTGCTTTACAGGTCAAAATACTATTTACCTCATGAATACGCTGGGTGGGAGCGAATACAACTTTCAATTCAATTCAATTACACGATTCTGTTCTATAACTTATCTGCTAGCCTAATAATGCCATGATTTGTATTTACACTTTTTACATTTTTTTCAGTTATTCTGTTACAAATTTTGAAATTACCACCAAACATTATAGATATCTAGAGCTTTCACTTTTTCTATATTGTCATTATGCCTCGAATGTGTGACAGACTAGACAAAACATTCTCGAGTAGGAATGAGGGTTGTTTAAAGCGGCACTGTCATAATAGGAGGATTTTGGCAAATTCACAAAGTCCCCCGACGGTGACTAATGGTCTTGTGGCCAAGGGGGTCGGAGCAGACAAGGGAGAGATTACTTAATCGCCATCTTGATCATGCTGCTCCTCTTCAGGGTGATGGACCAGGTGATTCACATCACTACTGTACTCTCGCACATGCATGAGAATACAGCTTTGAGGACTAAGGGGAATCCCTTTAGACTGCAAGATCTTCCACAGACCCAGCTAATACCCTGCAGCCATCACTGCAAGTCTTGACACGCCTTGTGTCATGAAATGTCAGGCAGATGACATTCCAACACAGTCATAATGAGTTTTTCATAAAGATACTGTCTTTAAGAGATACTCATTTTTAATACGAGGGTGACAGTGCCACTTTAAGGAACCGTTCTGATACTTTTATTTTTTATTTTATTTTTTTTAGACTTGTTGCTCTTTTTTGAACAAAAAATGAGCAACAGTTTTGTTTTGTTTATTTTTATTTATCATATTATATGTGTTTCAAATTAGTGTACTGGTTACCTACTTATTTTGTTGCCAAGCATATTGCATTAACTAATGATAGATGATCCAATAATGTTTGCAATATCTATATGTCCTTGTAATAAAGAGAGCTGAGCAAAATAAAGTTAAAAACATTTATTATAAATCCCAGTAGTGTTATAAAATGAATGTTCCTTTTGGTTTTCTACAGTCATCAATACAACAGATGCAAATTACAAGTTCAGATTATTTATGATAAAAGACTTAATTAGTGTAAACAAAAGGCACTTTGTTTGCAAGTCCTAAATTGATTTGCAGTCTTAGTGTTCAGTATTTTCAGGGCAGAGAACAGTCCAACAGAACATTGCTTTTTTCATGAGCTTCTTAAAGGAGACAGCAAATGTGACTCATTTTTTTTGTTAACTAGAAGATTCCAAAAGCTGTTGCTAAGCTTTCTGTTAAGTAGTGTTGTTCACTTTTAAATTAAATTAGCCAGAGGTAAAGTAAGGTGCACATGATTTATCTGTACCTGAACTAAGTGCACTCCCTCCTCCCTTTCACACAAAATACTAAGGAAATTCATGATGCAGCATTTATATTGTTCTTGCACTGAGTAAATATAAACCATTTTTTACAAGGCTAATAAATTAAAGAAAACAAACATTTCTTTAATAATATGCTTTGGATGTAGCCCTGCAGGAAACATAAGGATTTTTGCAGTGGATTAATATTATCTGGCAGTCTAGCTCAACAGTTCTTACCGTATGAGCTTTGGTGCCTAAAAATTGTATATTGTAGATGTCTATTCGATAGAGACTTATGGAGAGTTCACAGACAACTTAAAAAAATATTGATGAAAATGGCTAAATTACAAAAAATGTTGGAGAACTTTAAACTTTCTGGTTTGCCAGAAATATTTTGTATTGGCCTTGCCCAATGCTCTCTGTTAAGTAAATACAATTAATAAATAGTTTTTCTTTTTTCATACGCCATTATAACTTGTCTAGTTTAAGGGTTTGGTAGTCAATAGTTGCCATAATTCTTTCAAAACTAGACACTTAATATATTGTATGCATTCTATAATGCATACTTTAAAATCGATAACATGATTATTAAATGTAAACCAGGCATATCCTGCCTAACTAAAAACTCCTGATCTCTCCCCCACCCCTTGACAAGTGTCTCTGACTGCCTCTCTGCTATTTCTAACTGGATGGCTTCCCACTTCCTTAAACTGAATTTTTGTTAATGGTGATACCATCAGCTCCACCACGCAGGCTCGCTGCCTAGATGTTCTCTTCTACTCCAATCTTTGCTTCACCCCTTATGTCCAGTTAATCGTCAAATCATGCACTTTCATCTCAAAAACATTGAGCGCATCCACCCCTACTTCACGCCAAATACAGCTAAGGTCCTGGACCACGCCACTGTCATCTCTTACCTTGACTACTGCAATCTGCTTCTCAGTACTCTCAACTTGCACCATTACTGTCTATAATGAATGCAGCGGTGAGTCTCATCTTCCTGTCCCCCCGCACCTCCCACGCCTCCCTCCTCTACCAGTTCCTACATTGACTTCCCGTAAAATATAGGGCTTAAATTAAAAATTCTGGTTCTTGCCTTCAAATCTCTACACAATACTGCTCCCACCTATCTATCCTCCATAATACTCAAGCATGTCCTGTCTAGACCCCTACACTCTGTTGAAGACCTCTGTTCGTACTCCAACCTCTGAGGCTCCCTTTAAGACTTCTCTAGAGCTGCACCGTTCCTGTGGAACTCCCTTCCCTTCTCCGTTAGACGCTCACCCAGTCTCCACTCCTTCAAAAAATCTTTAAAAACTCACTTCTTCACAAAAGTATATCAATTAAACAGTTAACAGCTCGCAATTAATTCCTCTCCTGCAACTGTAATTTATAAAAAAACAGAAACACACAAAGTCTTCAGTGAATACTATTCTACCAATCTACTTTTATAATACTTTCCTTACCTTTTGTGTAATTTTACCCAACTCCCTCTAGCATGTAAGCTCATTGAGCAGGGCCCTCAACCCTTCTGTTCCTGTGCGTCAAACTTGTCTGGTTACAATTACATGTTTGTTACTTCACCCATTGTAAAGCGCTGCGGAATTTGTTGGCGTTATATAAATAATAATAATAATAATAATAATAATAACATTCTTAGTCTATGTTTAATGAGTTTTCTAATTATTATTGTAATTCATATAATTAATATTATGGCAATTTATATCTCCAATATATTCTGCAGCACTTTACATTATCAAAAAGGGGAAAGAAAACAGCAGGCAATAGACAAAAAAAATAACGTATCACAAAATTAAGAGTTAAAGAGGACCCTTCTCAAAAGTCCTTATACACATATAAATTACCCATTAATTTAATTTTGAATTTTAAAATATTTAGGTTAAAATTGCTAGGTTGGAAATGTGTGTTAGAGAATTTTTCCAACTTAACTTAGCAAATTTGATTTTCAATTCATCACACTTAATTGCTTATTGAATAAAGCTTGACTTAAACTCTAAATGGATAACCTTGTGCCATTTGTATAGAACTTGTAAAAGGTCACACACAAAAAGCTGTTCTAAAGGCACTATATTTAGTTGTATAACTGCTTTAATATATTCCTTATAAATCCCCCTTTTCATGATGATCAATCTATATATGTTCATCTCTAACACCTGTTTATGAGACTGTTCTAGAGCTAACATACAAAATAGAGAAGCATATCAGTAACTTTTTTCCCTTTCCTATGGCCCTTCGTACGAATTTCCTATGGCTCTTAATTAAAAAAAATAAAATACCTTTTCTTTAAAAATGCCATTGTTAGTAAAAGCAACTACACAACACCTGATAGGGATTTTGTTTTGAACAGGATTAGCTAGTGGGTTGTGTAAAAGTGTGACTGCCACTGTTATTTGACGGCTAACATTTTAACTGACAAAACCACGTAACAGATTAAGAAAGCATTGTGTAGTCCCGGGTCAATTGACAAAAACATGTGACATAAAAACCAGAAGAAAGGAAGAATAATGTTACTTGTGCACTATCCCAAATGAGGTTTTTTAGTATCACTCTAATGGCCATTCAAGTATAAGCTCACCTGCCACCTTGAGACAAAAGCTTTCAGGTGAGTCATACACTAACAATTCACCTTTCAGATAAAATGTAAAATCTCTAATGAGACAAAGAGGGGTATTTTTCTGAAATACCACATACTTATTAACTCTTCATAGGGAACACATGGGATGGGTGTCAGCACTGTAACATGACTGTGTAATACAAAATCAAATACAAACATACAAACCGAAAGCCATGCTCTCAAACTCCCACTATTCCTGGGTGGCAGGATTGACTATAGTACACGTCAGCCCCAATATATATAATGAAAACAAAAATAAAAAATGTACTTGTGCACTGTCCCAAATTCCTTAATTCATTTAAATAACTGGAGGTTTCTTGGTATCACTCCAAGGCTCACCTGCCACATCAAGGCAACACCTCTTAAGTGAGTCCCACACTAACAATTCACTTTGCTACTTTTAGCTAAAAGTTTAAATATTTAAAATCTCAAATGAGAGAGTAACAGGCTAAATAAGCATTATGTAGTCCCGAGGTGTGTTGGCAAACCCATGTAAAAGGCTAGCAATACATCATGTAGTTACACAGTAGTTGACAAGTACCTGTGAGATACCCCTGGTCAACAAGCTACAGGTGGCACTATCTTTCAAGTCAAGATATTCTAACAAGGATTGCTGGAAAAACTAATCTGTCAATGCGACGGAGTACCTCTGAACCAACCAAAAGAGTTTCAAATTGTAAAACAATATTTTTGGACTATAATATATATATATATATATATATATATATATATTGAACAAAATTATAAACGCTGAACTTAAAGATTTAAGATTTTTTCTACGTACACAGAAGGCCTATTTCTCTCAAATATTGTTCACAAATCTAAATCTAAGTCTAAATCTGTGTTAGTGAGCACTTCTCCTTTGCCGAGATAATACATCTACCTCACAGGTGTGGCATATCAGGATGCTGATTAGACAGCATGATTATTGCAAAGGTGTGCCTTAGGCTGTCCACAATAAAAAGCCACTCTTAAATGTGCAGTTTTATCACACAGCACAATTCCCCAGATGTCTCAAGTTTTAAGGGAGTGTGAAATTGTCAAACTGACTGCAGGAATGTCCACGAGAGCTGTTGCCCGTGAATTAAATGTTACTTTCTCTACCATAAACCATTTCCAAAGGTGTTTCAGACAATTTGGCAGTACATCCAACCGGCCTCACAACCGCAGACCACGTGTAACCACACCAGCCCAGGACCTCCACATTCAGCATCTTCAACTCCAAGATCGTCTGAGACCAGCCACCCAGACAGCTGCTGCAACAATCATTTTTCATAACCAAAGAACTTCTGCACAAACTGTCAGAAACCATCTCAGGGAAGCTTATCTGCATGCTCGTTGTCCTCATCGGGGTCTCGACCTGACTGCAGTTCGTCATCGTCTGGCACTTTGGAGAGGTGTTCTCTGCACAGATGAATCCTGGTTTTCACTGTACAGGGCAGATGGCAGACAGCATGTGTGGTGTGGGTGAGTCGTTTGCTGATGTCAACATTGTGGATTGAGTGGCCCATGGTAGTGGTGGGGTTATGGCATGAGTAGGCGTATGTTATGGACAATGAACACAGGTGCATTTTATTGATGGCATTTTAAATGCACAGAGACACCCTGATAAGATCCTGAGGCCCATTGTTGTGACATTCATTCACGACCAACACCTCATGTTGCATGATAATGCATGGCCCCATGTTGCAAGGATCTGTACACAGTTCCTAGCCAACATACTCACCGGACATGTCACCCATTGAGCGTGTTTGGTGCATGGGGAAAATTTTCGGTTCGGTTCGGCATTCCGAAATTCGGGATTTTGGCAATTCGGCACTTCGACACTTCGGAAATTTGGCAACTTTTTTTTTAACAGTGAGCAGCCACGGGCGGTATAGCGAGTAGGGGCATAATTTACTAATACTAAGTCATTTTACTTAGTATTAGTAAATTTGGCTGAAAGACCAATTTAGGTCTTTCAGCCTTTTAGTAGATAGCTCCCATGGGAGTTAGGGAGTTATCTACTTATTCATTCCTGTCATTACATTGACAAGCTAAGTAACTTACATTTTATATGAATGTATGTTACTTGATTGTTGTAAGTGTTGCAAATGCTTACAGCTGTATCCTGGCTATGTTTGTATACTTTTTATTTAAAATTGTATACAATGTAACATTCTTCTTCTTTCGCTGGGTAAGTATATTAGTACTTAGGCAATACTGTGCTTCGGAAATTCGGCACATCGGCACTTTGACACTTCGGAAATTCGGTAATTTCGGAACTTTGGGACCTCGGCAATTCGGCAATTCGGACATTTGGAAGTACCCGAATGTCCGAATTGCCCAAAATTAGTCTGAATTTATATTCGGACCGAAACGAATTGCATATGTCTAGTGTTTGGGTAGCTTGTTGGTACAGCATGTTCCAGTACCTGCCAATATCCAGCAACTTCGCACAGCCATTGATGAGGCCATTGATGAGGAGTGGACCAACATGCCACAGGCCACAATCAACAAGCTGATCAACTTTATGCGAAGGAGATGTGTTGCACTGCGTGAGGCAAATGGTGGTCACACTAGATACTGACTGGTTTTCAGACCCCCCGAACTCCCCCAAATACAGTAAAACTACACATTTAGAGTGGCCTTTTATTGTGGCCAGCCTAAGGCAAACCTGTACAATAATCATGCTGTCTAATCAGCATCTTGATATTCCACACCTATGAGGTGGATGGATTAACTAAGCAAAAGAGAAGTGCTCACTATCACAGATTTGGACAGATTTGTGAACAATATTGAGAGAAATAGGCCTTTTGTGTACATAGAAAAAGTCTTCGATCTTCGAGTTCAGCTCATGAAAAATGAGGGCAAAAACAAAAGTGTTGCATTTATAATTGTGTTCAGTGTATATATATATATATATATATATATATATATATATATGTGGTTATTAAATCTAACTCTACCTAAACCATCCTGTTTTGAAAAGTGTTAATTTATGCAAAATCAAGTTTGCTTAGAACACTGAGTGTTATTACAACATTTATTGTTTTAACAATGATTACATTTTGTAATTCTACAATCGCACTCTGAGTTTATTATTCTTCCTAAATGTTATTTGTTTAGGCTTTTTCCCACATTGCTATTAGAAGTCAATTAATGTTCTCATACTCTAACTATTTTTTATAATATTTTTACCATTAGAAAATAATCAATAGCATTGAATCAGCTGAGATTTTTTTTCACAGATTCTTTTAATTAAAACTCACAGGTCTCATTGTTTATATGTTTATAGATTCAATAGATATTAACTTAACTTGTGATTTATTTTCGAGAAGACATGTCTCAATGTGGTTTAGTAAGAATACATTCAGTGAATTTAAGTGAATCTTAAATTTACCACTAGAGCAATGCAATCATGAATGCCATTAGACCACTGTCCAAGATATAACAATATAATTACAATAATCATAACACTGTGGCACTTACCACATCATAAGGATTATTAGAGGAGTCTGACAATTAAATAAGTGTAATGACTGTCATTCGATCAACGTGCCACTCAGACCATTGTAATGACCACCAAAGAGCCATCCAGACCACTGTAATGTTCCCGTTCTTGAGACTTAATATCTTCTTTGCTGGCAAAATTATTTTGCAAGAACACTGTTGTCAGCTTCTTTCCTCAAATTTAATATGAGCTCATAAGTTGCCTCACACTTACTCATTTTGGTATCAGGTTTGACTTGATTTGCTTACTGACACAGAAAATGCGAAGAGGTGTCCATAATATATATTATATTACCAATCTCATTGCATTAGCTAGAAGTACCTGTCTATAGGGCACTTGATGTGGCTGCCGTAAGAGTGCAATAAAAGTCACATAACATGAATTTATTTTTTCTTATAGTATGTTTATTTGCTTCCATACATTTTTAATAAATCATACCGTATTTGTTTATAATGGTGTCTTTTTTGCCTGTGCACTTTTAATCACTTCGGCTTGGTGTCTTTTTCTAATGCAGTTTTTCATCTATCAGAATGTTGATAAATGGAGATCACGGAGTGCCTGTGGCAAACCATTGGAAAGATAAAGACTCATTAAGGCTATCTGGTTTCTGAGTACTCAAAGACTTCTGCTGTTCTGAGCTAGGACTGAAATATTGCCCACCATTTTTATACAACTGCAAATTCCTATCAGCGATCAATATATGAGATGGATGTTGTATAAAATATGTAGTAACATATAATCCATATATTATTTATAATGCAAAACCATTATGATGCATTTTTAAATGAAAGAGAAATCTTACCTAAGTCTCTTAAGTCTTAATGAAGCCAGTATTTTCATAAACCACATGCACCCTTAACAGCAAGCTACAATTAAACATGAATCATCATTTTAGTATGAAAGAAGAAATTTGTTGCTGTTGTTGTAATCTTGTTAATAAACTACCAGGTTGAAAACAGCAGCTTGAGTCATGGGTTACTGTAAATGACAGCAACATATATGAATTGTGTTTATTAAAATTTAAAAGCATGCTGTTTTTTCTAAAAAGATTTTTTAAAAAGGCTTGAAATGGAATTTCCTCTTCAATATACTGCAATGAAATATTAGATCACATTTATAAGAATTTGTTCTGTGCCAATGTGCTACGTAAGGAGCAATCAACAGAAACATTGATAATAATCACCTATTAATGTCTTAAAAACCTCTTGTGATTATTTGATTATTATAGGGACAAGTTAAAGGGACACCATAGGCACCAAAACAACTTTAGCTTTATGAAGCAGTTTTGGTGTATAGATTATGCCCCTGCAGTCTCAATGCTCAATTGTCCGGGAAAGGGTTAATTTCTGTTCAGCTGAATCATAAGACTCGCAACCTTGAAGTTATGTACATGACCGACTTTGATTCCCCCTTCTTCAATGAAGACTCTATCCCTACACCCTCCTGTTCTAAGAAGACCCCACCTAGCAATGCCCTCTATATAAACTGATGATTAATTATTTATTAAATGCCTTTTCCATGCTCTTTGCAAAGGGCAGATAAATGCTCACTTCCAGCATAAGGTTTAAATCCACCATGATTTTCAGTGTTTTATGAAAAGCAGTATAAATATCTTCTATATAGATCATTTAAATATCGGTTACTTACCACACTTCGGTTCCCCTCTGATGAGTTGTGGGCAAAACGCGCGCGTCAGGGGCCCTCGGTGATCCGTTGCAACAACTAATGTGTACTTTGGACCAACTTACACTACACAACCCTCTGGATCCCGTTTTTTTATCCTGTTATTACCTGGGTGGGCGAAGGCTGCTTTATTTTCCTCCCATTATCTGTTATAATAGTTATGGTATCAGACATATGAGTGGCGATTTTATCTTTACTACCTAGCAGCCTTTACCCGGTTAATACTTTCTCAGTATTAATAACAGGCATATATTTGATTAATAGCCTATTTAGGTATTTTGCAACTGTCACGTGCGTGGGCTATAGACCCAGCCGAGACAGTGGGGAGAGTGTGGAAGTGACAGGGTTAATGACACCACACCCCTGGTTACCTGTTGCTAGTCCCAGCAACCACTCAATTAACCCCTGCAATCCCTTCTACACTAACCCCCTTAGTACACACTTTACTGCCACCACCAAGACTTTTAAACCCGGGCGTCTTAGGTTACCCCACACACAGGAGAATTATAGTATCACAGTTCTACTTTTACTGATAAAACATATATAGTTGACCCTTTTTGGTAACGTGTTTACCTGAGCTTTCCTCTGGAGAGTGAAGCTCATAGAGAACAGAGACACAAGCTGATTAAGTAAACATTTAATCTGACAAAAAGGATTCACAGTGCTGAGTACAAAATACAGAAATAAATGACATACAGATAACAAATTGCAAAACAGTACATAAAATAAAATAGGAGAAAACACAAGAAATTCCTTACATGTAGTTACCCCATATAGAATTCTTGTGGGAGTCTTAGATGGTATAGGTCTCCTAGAAGTTGTTGACAAAAGAAAAATGAATAACTGACCTGGATAGTCCGGCACCCTCAGAGGGGTTGGTCTGGCAGTTTATTGCCCACTCTATGCAATTCCTTGTGTCCAGCTCTGGTGATGGCTATCTAGATGTTTTATGGTCTAAGCCTGGTGCCAGATCAAAGACCACAATAAACGTCATCCCAAGGTTTACAAAAAAACAACTTTCAACATATCTCAACACACATAAAACACCAACTCATGCTTTTGGCATGACAGCAACACCCTGTTAATAATGCTGCACTGTGTATATGTATTTTTAATTTTTCACTTATTTTAGTGCAACATTATATATGTAGACTATTAACTGTGCAGATATATATTTACACAGCCTATGGGAATGATCACTGGGGATTGTGCTTACGATCACTGCAATATTGCTTTTTGCAGTTAGCACTGAGTAGAGGACACTGAAAACTTTTGAATAGGACCTCTTTATTTATAACTCAATGGTGTATTTTATCTCCTTTAGTATAAGGTATTACTTATTAGTAGGATAGGTTTAACCTTTTGAATGATGATCTGTACTCATCTTTACTAATTGTCTTTAGCCTCATACTAGACAGTGGCTTAGGAAACATATCTTGTTACAGTTGTCCTTATGTTAGTTTTTGCCATTAATATATCCTTTGTCTCCATATTGATACTTTGTTAATATCAGCTAACTCTCAGTGTCATATCCAAAGGATCAGTTTACTATTTAGTGCTTTTTACCTAGTAGGCATTCCTATGTTCTAGGCTTATGTATTTATTCAGCCTTGTATATTTACATTTTGAATTTTCGAGTATTTTCTCATTTATGGACACTTATTTATCTCTTTTAACATAATTATTAAAGGTTATATTTTATTTCATTAGGGCACTCAGTTTTTCCTTTTCCCCTTTTTTTTCTTACTACTTGGGTAGTTTTTGATGGGTTAACCCCTTTATGAGTGTATTCCCTAAGCTTCCATCTCCTCATGTTTGTTCTTCTGTATAGATCTAAGTCCATCTGCCAATTGTATAACGTTGTATACTGTTTTATGGTATAAGGCTGTTTTAAACAAGTTTATTATTCCATTTTCAGTGGTTGCACACATATTGCTTGCTAATTAAATTTTTGTTTACAGGATGATACAAAAGAAAGAAACCCCAAAATGTTCAAAGCTGCTAGTGAAATTGAAGTTTGCTTGTAGTGATAGGAGTTAAAGGGGATTTGTGTGTCTCAGTTCTCAAGCTGAAATGAGCCTCCCTCCCTCTAAGCATGTGTAGTAAAAGGAGGGGGCAGTAGGAAATAAGACTGTAACAGGAATGTTATGTGGAAGGTAGTTTATAGTATAAGCATGTTAGCAGAAGGCAGGAATATTTGTAAGTGATTATGCTCAGGTTGAAAAAAAAGTATGTTGGCTGAATGAAAGAATGTTGTTTTTGTATGAATGTTCTGAGTCAATTTGTTAAATAATACATAGAATGATTGTGTGTAAGTTGTTAATCAGAGAGCACATGGTATGAGAAATACCAGGGTAAATTCACAACTTGTTTTTTGGAAGCTCCTTAATGCTTCAAGGTGAAACAAAGAGAGTGTTAATTTTTCTATGTATTAGAATGCAGAAAGGAAGTGGCCATTAGTGGCTAATGTTTCAACTGGGGTCATAGTGAACCCTGTCGACAAAACTGTCTCCACCCAAAAGGTGGAGACCATGGTCCCACACATAGTCATCAATTGGGAGGTAACAATGACCAAGCTCCATAGCCCATCCCTCATGCCAATACAATACACTCCTCCATTGTCTGTTGGACTTTTTTTTTTTTTTTAATAATCAGCATTCTTTTTTTGTATTCTCAGATTGTCCAGTCAATTTATTAGGCAGAGATCTGATGGTAAATGTTTATTTGATGTATTTATGTTCTAGCATTTTTCTTTTTCTAATTCTTTGTGTTAATATATTATTAATGTTTACATTTTATTTGAGCATGTCAGCTTATCTGATCCAACATTTCAAATAATTTTATTCCTGTTGGGGAAAATAGTCTATGTATATCTGTGTCTGCAGCTCAGATTGAAAATATACAATTAATATTTAACTAAATTCTGTAATTGTTGATAAATTAATTTGTTGAAATTCAGATAATCGTAATCTATTCTCTCATAAAATACCTGTAGAATTTCCTTATGTGATTTTTAGTTATTGCAATTGTTGTTGATACATTCTTTAAGACATTAACTAAAGTTCTATTATGGAAGTGCTCATTATTCATATCTCACTATCTATTATAAGAATAATATTCTCACATATTTTAAGCAATTTTCTTTGTTACATGTTATATGGTATAGATTGTTCTCAGAATAAGTTTTATTTAAGGAAAGGCAGCTGTTGAATGTCATATTGTGTTAATTAATAAAATTAAGTTGAAATAGCAAAAATGTATCACTGGTACAGGGTCATATAGCCTCTAACAGAAACAGTGGTGCATTTAACCCCTTAAGGACCAAACTTCTGGAATAAAAGGGAACCATGATATGTCACACATGACATGTGTCCTTAAGGGGTTAAACAGTTATCACTGTCAAGGACAGATGAATAATGTACAGAAAAGTGCTTTGGTTGTTTGTTGCATTATATGTTTAGAACCATATTGGTGGGAGAGTTCTGAATATTTTCCACATGGTATATAATTCTAGTTTATATTACATTCTGCTTATTGGTTTGATTGCTAAATGAAAGTTATTCCACTTATTAAATGAAAGTCCATGATTGGAACACAATGGATGGCTGAAGTTTATAATAATAAACCAGAGTAGATACCAGGATAAG